AAACTTCGAAGTTCAAGTTTTCAAAGAATACTGGAACTTTTTCAAAAATTCATCTATTCCATGATTGGTACCGTTGAGACTTTGGGGGTGGGGAGAGGTTGCGAGACTGTTTTTGAGACCGCGAGTTTTGAAGCATCAAACGACATAACTTCCTTCACACTGGTTAATTTGTAAAGCTACAGCCATAATGACGAATCCAATGGTTCAAGCTTTTCTAAAAGTGCCAAAACTCATTCAAAACATTACCGATTAAGAAATTAGGCAAATTGAGACTTTTTCCCGAAGGCACTCTTCAACCCTTTGAATGCTGTTGATACATACATATGTGGATGTACCTACAGTGCGTCTCCAAATGATACAGCCACCAAGTTGTTCAAAATCTCGTGTTTCACCAATTCTCTGAAAAACTGTCCAACAGAAAAAATGTGCAAATTCGATTGCGAATTCGAAAATCAACACGAAATTTCAGGCTAGGAATGCCAAAAAAAATTATGCTAAATTTTCCAGACTGGATCGCTCTTCCAACGTCTCTAAATGATACAGCCACTCACTGTTTCTTCATTGGATTTCATTTCTGCCTGAAGGAACTAATTGACAGTCATTAGCTTTTCTTTTTTAGGTCATTACAAGAGGAACACAGCCGTTGGACTTGAACACGGGCAGATTGTAGCAGAAAAAGAAAGAGTAAACACAAGGGAGTCACACTGCCCGGGAATTCAAGCAAATTTCTAAAAATCAAAACAATTTCTTTTTGCATCATGTAGGAAATGGATCTAGACGCTCTAGACGCTATCCTTCGCTTTTCGATCAAGATGAAGGCATTATTTTTAAACCAGCACCTGATTTCATCAACGCATGCTCGGAAGTTGAGCCTTCTTTCAAACTCAATTTATTACTGGGTTGTGATTGGTAATACTCAAGAACCTCCAATATTGTCCTTCGACGGAAAGTGAGGAAGACAGCGTCCTTGGAAAGAAAGCGTCGAAATAACCCAACGTCTTTTGCTGGGAAAGAGTAGCTAACACAACCGAAAAACATCAGCTCTTTATTACGTTTTTCTTTCCTGCCTGCTTTCTCTTTGAGTTTTTCCTTGCTTATGAAAGTTTTTTTAGAAAAGAGCCATCTGGAACAAAAAGTCTCAAAAGAATAATAGACAATAACCAGGAAGTGACAGATCGGGAACAGATCCTGCTCCGCTTTTCTCGGACGAGCTTTCCTTGCAGGAAGGAATCGGTCTTCGCGATGGCACCCTTTCAGAAGCAGAGCCTTTTTAACCATCCGCTAAAGATCGACCTTAGAACTCCTTCAGGAGATGCCAGTTACTAAGCTGTTATAAATTAAGTTTTAAAGAAGGCTCAACTTCCGAGCACGCGTTGTTGAAATCGGGTGCTGATCTAAAAAATGCCTTGTCTTGATCTGAAAGCGAAGGATAATGTCTAGAGCCCCCCTCAGTTCCATTTCCTACATGATGCAAAAAGGAATTGTTTCGATTTTCAGAGATTCTCTTGAATTCCCGCGCGATGTGACTACCTGGCGTTTACTCTTTCTTTTTTGCTACGATTTCCCCGTGTTTAAGCCCTACGGCTACTTTCTTTTGTGATGATCAGAAAAAGAAAATTCACTAACTGCCAATCAGTCTCATCAGGCAGAAATGCAATCAAACAAAGAAACAGCGAGTGACTGTATCATTCAGAGACGTTGGGAGAGCGATCCAGTCTGGAAAATCTAGCATAACTTTTTGGCATTCTCAGCCTGAAATTTCGTGTTGATTTTCGAATTCGCAATGTAATTTGACACACTTTTCCTGTTGGACAAATTTCAGAAAATTTGTGGAACACGAGATTTTGAACAATTTCTTGGTGGCTGTCTCATTTGGAGACGCACTGTATTCCGTAGTCGAAGTCACCACGACAGTTTGGGCACCTATCGAGATGGGAGGGCCCGCATGATGGCGGAATTATGCACAAATACATTCCAACGCCGACAATAATTTTCCAGAAGTCCCTGCGAGTAACGCTGGATAAGTTAAAAAAGCAAGTGTTACCGCACATCAACGGGCAATTGCAGCTCCCAAAAGCTCTTTATGACTCACACTCCTGATACTCATACTAATGGTTCTGGTGTCTCATTCAGTTATTATATCAGTGCAACATAAGCAAATGATCGATGACGGATTCGCTCATCTTCGGCAGAAAGCCGGGCAGAGGGCAACGCGATGTTTCTTGGATGTGTTGGAGATTCCAGCTTCCAGAGTTCTGACAGTCGAGATGATGCGGCAGTAAAAGTAGAAGAAATCTGTAGTGACCCGAAAGGTGAGCGCTGAAAGCCAACGAACATTCGTTGGAGCAGAAGCATCCGGTGGGAAAAAGCGCTTCTACAGAGTGCAGCCTGCACTTCTCAACAAGTTCGCTCCCAGCCGAAGCTCATGCCACGAATGAAATGTGAAAAACGTGGTTTGCGTATGTTGTGAAATTATATTCCGAACATGCATGTCCAAGCGCAGACGGTGTAGTGACAGGAATGCCCGGCGCGCATGGTACTTGGACCAAATCTCAGGTAAAATCAATCAATCAAGCACGTCAATTAAATTTCCAGAGATAATTAGCTGGTGCTAGTAGCCACACCTACTTTACAAAACATATCGTTAAATTAAGTTCAAAAAACTCGTAGCAAGCTCAAAAAAGTCGTAGCCCCAGGGTTAAGCCACTTCCTTGGGAAGGCGAGTTTTTTTTACGATTAGAATGGTTGTAACTTCCTTCAGAACCTATTTTGAGTAAAACTCCAAGAGTGTTGGAAAACTGCAAGTATGCGCTTTGAAAAATTCCGTCCCTACAGCAATATTACTCTTGAAACAATTTTCTTTTCTCTTTGAAGAGTCCGGCCTCAATACTACTACAGTATTCCTCTTTCGTTCACTGCTGAAACGAAGAAATTCCTTTCAACATTTTTTTGTTGCTAGTAACTCAAACTGGTGCGCTGCTAATAATCCCTGCCATGGAGGGGGCGCCTACGGCGTGCTTCTAACACGGCGTGCTTTCACCAAGTGGGGGAGGGTTGCTGCGATCTGTATCAACTTTGATTTACAATATCAAAGTCGATATACATAGATCGATGCAACCCTCTCCCACTAGGTGAAACAACACGACCCGCTTCGTTGGTACTTTTACCAAAACAAGGTAAATCCTGGCCCATACTGATCACTGAAAGAACTGCCTAGTATAGAGAGCAGTGCAAGAAGAACTCTATAAGGGTGGGGGGGGGGGGGGAGCGGTGTGGCATGACAC